GTACCCGTAGCATAGCTGCCACTTAAAGTGAGAACATGCAGTGTTTGTGAAATGGTAAATTTTTACATGCAAGTTTATCATAAGGGCTGTATTTGAATGGCGTCTTTCAGTAAAAGTAATTCAGAATTTTTAAGGGTAAAGGTTTATATTGTCAACTTGATTATAAATATTTGGCAAAATACAATTCCAGTACCTTAGATGCAGTGACTTGTGGCTATTTTTAATTCTGACCCCACCTGTCCTCCCCTCCACAGCGTCCTAGATGGGGATGCTAGAGAGTCGTGCTCTAGAGATGGGCACTTTTCCCTGATTCTTGGATTAAAATGGGTAGGACGCGGCTAGACCTCTCCCCATGAAGTCCCCAGAGCCTGCTGGTCTTCCCCTGGCTTATTTCCGAGCATACTTCTAGATTATATTGTAAGATATTTAAAGAACTACGATTTAAAAAACTTTAAGGGTGACACCTTTGAGATATCTAGTGGTCTGGTGTGCCAGTTCTTGCCTTAGCCGCTTTTCGAAACCATTTAAAGGTGTGCTTGTCCTTCCTGACACCCCTCAAATCCTACTGCACTTCAGTTTCGGTGAAAGGTCAGCCCTTAGTATGAGGCGGAGTATAGTGAGGAAATATCGAAAACCAGATATTCCAGGGCCCAAAAGTTGTTGGTCTCATGATTGTGATCAGAAATGGTAACCCGAGTCAATGCGTGTTTCTGATTTGACAGCTGATGTCATGCGGTCTGCTGGAAACACTCAAGTTTAGTGTTCTGGAATTGCAAGAACACCTGGATACGTACAATGCCAAAAGGGAAGCAGCTGAGCAGGTCAGTCTCTTTTTACCATGAGAGAAAAGTAGTTTGCTCCCGTGTTAACCTGGCAGCAGAATAGCCCAGACAGAAAGACCACTTAGCACTCGCCTCAGCGTTTTTCTGAGAACCGTGCGTCCTTGGAGCTCTCTGCCCAGTGAATTCCTATCTTTGACTTTTAGAAATCTGCTCTCTAAAAGCACAATGGAAAACCATAGCTTTGTTAAAAGCTCCTCTGTGGAGACCATCCAGCTGCTGTCAACGCTGCAGGCGGAGAAACAGAAGCAGTTTTTCTCTGAGACTGCATTACAGAATTGTGGTCTCGAAAATGTGCAACCTCTGATAAAGCTGTGGTCTTTTTCTTGTGATGTGTTTATGCATCAAAGCGAGAAACACGCATGTGGTAAATTGCAGATGCTCCTGCTAAGAAACATTCTTCAATTCCAGTCTGGCACTGACAGTCGCTCAGCTCCCTGAAAGAAAGCCCAGCATGCTTTCGATCAGCAGGCGCAGAAAAACAAAAACGCTTCTCCCTTTCCACAAACTGCATACAGTAGACAGATTTTTTTCCTAGGATCTTTCATTAATAAGTATTAAATATCCAGCACATGTAAAGGCCTATGAAAAATGAACTATAAAACTGGGTTCTTATTCCTTAAATATTCTAGACAAGGATATAAAGCACAGATACTATATGTGAATAATTAGTAAGAAAAATAAAGTGTCTGTCACTTAAGTTACAGACACAAATAAAAAATACTGGCAACAAAAGAGACACCCCAAGATCATACAGGTCTAACAGAGAACGAATGCAGACCATTCGATACTGTGATATCCAGAGAGAGGTCACTTTGAGCTAACAGGAAAACCTCATGGAATGGTGATATGATCTTGGACTTTGACAGATGGTTAATTTTGGATTGGAGCATCATTTCGGGAGGGCATGTGGTATGAGAAAATACTTATATTGAACCTTTCTCCCCTTACAAGGGGAGCATGCTCTTATATTCAGACTGAAACCTGAAACAACAATGGCAGATTGGAGAAGAGGAAAGAGTTTCCACCATGAGGGAATTATCAGGCAAGATCTGGTCATCTTAGAAATAACATTGCTGTGTACAGTTTTATGCATATGTTTTGCCTGTGTGTGTTCACATATCTGCTGAGTATTTAGGAGTGTAATTGCTGGGTCACAGAATATGCTTACGTTCATCTTTAGCAGATTCTGCCAAGCAATTTTCCAAAAAAGGTTGTATCAATTTAGGATCCCATCAGAAGTGTGTACAAGAGTTACCGTTGCTTCGTATCTGTGCCACCACTTGGTATTGCCAGTTTTTAGAATGGTAGTTGGGTAGTAGTAGCTCATATTATCTTGCATTTCCCTGGTGACTGATGTTGACCATCTTTTCATATATTTTGTGAATATTGTGCCAAGTACCTTGCCCATTTTTGTAAATGGACTGTGCTTTTCTCACTGATTTATAGGAGCTTTTTATTCTAAATACAAGCCTTTCACTGGATATATGTATTGCAAATATCTTTCCCTGTCTGTGGCTAGCATTTTCACTATCTTAATAGCATCTTTTGATGAACAGAAATTTTTAATTTTATTAAGTCCAAGTTGTCGGTCTTTTCCATTATGGTTTTGCTTTTCATGTCTTTAGAAATCATTGCCTACGCTACAAGTTGTGGCCGATTTTTATAATAATGGCCCCAATGAATCGTGCCTCTGTGTCCACACCCCTGACGTTGCCATTCTTCCCACTGAGAGATGGGGTCCATTTCCCCACCTCTTAAATCTGGGATGGCCTTGTGACTTGTTCTAACCAATCGAATCCAGAAGCAATGCTGTAC